GAGCCGTCCATGTTTAATTCACCAGCCATCATTGCCGACATCGCCACCACCGCAATCACCATAATTATTAACTTGTTCATTTTGCCCTTCATTGTCAATATGATGCTTATTTTTAACGTATTTTTTGCGGATTTTATTCTTGAGTTTAATGGCGGTAGAAATACGTAATTTTTCAATATTTAACACATTTGGTAGAGTAATTGATATACAGTAGTAGACATAATGTTATGTGATTTTAGTTTGACTTAAGTTTGTTATTAGTTTTTAGTGAAAGTTTAATTAGAATTGCATATGTAATTAACTATTGTTTTTAACTTAGATTTACAGTGACTATGAATTGTTATTAAATACCACATTCAATTTGGTCTTAAATTTTGTTAAAAACTAAATTTTACGACATTTTGATTACAACTATGATTGACAACAATAATTATTAATTTCAGTCCCTATTACTATATAATAATTAATTTATAAAATCTATATTTATTGACAATTTATTGACATTTCATCATGATCAATTTAGTTGAAAAATACAAAACCATATCGTGATCGTTTAATAAATTATATGATTTATAAATAGTTAAAAATATAATGATATAAAATCAATTAAATGTAAATTTTCTTGTAAAAAGTATTAGATTTATAAATTTAAATAAATATTCCTTATCATTATAATAGCTTTAAATTATAAATACTTAAAAATAAAATTTTTTAAACTTTATAAAAATACTTGTTTAAAAAAGTTAATTTTTAATAAAAAATACAAAAATTAATTCAGTTAGAATTTTTATAACATTAATGAGCTATAATAAATAGTAAACACAATATGGTTATGTAACAAAAACAGGAGCTCAATCATCTAGATTAAATTCAAACAATTAGTTACATTTATGGTATAAAATAAATTAATTTCTGGTAACTGACACTACCATAAATCACCTCGATAACAATACTCTAATTATTATAATTATAAATTCACCAAGAGCCTGATACCGTAAATCACGGGTAGTGGCCAATACAGTATCAATAGTCCCAACACCACATCCATAGCCATACTTGCATTACGGCGTAAGGCTGTCGTATCGCCCGTACGTTTTGTACGCATGCGTACGATCTCTGCCGAGACTTTTTTGCGATCGTAGGCCCAACCAATTTTTGCAAACATGTCGATGAACAAAGTGGTCGGGTTGAAATTTTGTTCCCACCTGTATTTGGACCCGGAGTAATCCTGTGGAAATGCGTGATGGTAGTTGTAGTAACCGCCACCTGTACATGGTCATAAATAAAATTGGATGTTAATTTAGTTTTAACAATGATTTTCTAATTGTTTGAGTTAAACATAACCAAAAATTATATCGTTAGATTTAAATAACTAATATCATAACTTTATAATCCGGATCCCTTTTATAATTAAAATACAAAAACATAACAGGCATATTTAATTCCATAAGAAACTTGTACATTATGTAATTCATTATAAGATAACTTGTTTTTTGAACCTATCTACAGTAGTTTCATTGTTTGTAATTACTCGCTAAAGTGACCGACCATTGACTGTATTTTCTGCGCTTTTAATAAAATTAATTAAATATTTTATTTTAAATAATAATTGAATACCTGAATTTGTCCACCAAATACGTCCAACTCTCGTGCGAGAACAGTAAACGGGGAATGGCCGTAAACACGGTGCCGCGTAACAAAACCACCCAGAACGTATAAAACATGATCTGGTACTTTACAATAGGGTCATCCAGTAGGTATTTGGTGTTTTAGTGACCACTCGTATATATCCTCCTGATAATCGTGTAAATAACCATGATATTTCAAATTGATGTGGCACAATTTTTGCCAGCATATTGTATTTAGAACGCTCGGGTTTGGTGATTATCACATTGTTATTATTATTTTGTTTCTTGTTATTAAGTTAACAATTTAGGTCATGTTTATTTAAATCTAAAGTTTGTTTGTAAATACCCGCTAAAGTAATTGACTATTAACTGTTTTTTATCTGGCTTAAATAAAATTAATTAAATATTTTATTTAAAACAATAATGAAATACCTGACGAGCACGGTGTTATCAGTGGGCTGGATACTTTTATCATAGGGCCTGTAACTAAACATATGGGCCACGGAATTGACCAACCAGGTATAATGCAATAGTATCACATAAAACAGCACGTTCATCGCTAATAAATACGTCCAACTCCCGTGCGGGAACAGTAACCGGGGAATGGCCGTGAACATGGTGCCTCTTACCAAAACCACCCACAACGTATAGAACATGCGCTGGTACTTTACAAAAAATTAGTTAATAAATTAAATTTTTAATTTGCCCATGGTGGACGTTTTGTAAAATTTCTGAAAAATAATTAATACGTTGTATTAATTATGAAAAACTGATCCACTTTTTCAGCGCCACAAAGTTGATTGAAAATATGGAGATAAACTTTATCTCTATGTTCAATTCATTTATAAATACATTTTAAAATTAATTTATTATAAAGAATTAATAAATACATTTACAAACAAATCAAGCTTATTGTAAAGTAAGCGTATTAACTTTTACAATATTATTTATAAGTTATTGCATTATCTGTCTATAGTATAATAGCATAATAATTTATTAAAATGTAATTAATAAGCCAGATGTTCTTAAATAGATAGTTTTGCGTGATCAGCGTCTATCAACATCAGCCACAAAAATCAGCTTGTTGATTATTCTTTCGGTTATACTTTGTTATACACTTGTCGCAATTTGGTACTTTCTCTGGTATACCTTTGGATGTTTTGCATTTGTAAAGAGCATTGTGAACACAATCTATGCCATGGAGATGGCCTTTGTTGACCTTTTTGCCACAGAATGTACCAGGCTTGTTGCCACAAATACAATCTGTATAATGGATGTACATGTTTACATATTAATATAGTAATATTTAGTTAGCTTTTTTGTTATACGTCATTGAAACAACGGGCAAAGCTGCATGGGTAGAGTAGCTATGAATGCTTACTACTATAATTAAGATAAAAACTTGTGTTTTATATTTATCATTAATATCAGCAAGAGTTTATATAGAGTTCAAAGCAGCATATTTGGTTACTAGCACATACCAAAAATGTTTCTAACTAGGAATTTATTTCATATACTAGTCACTATATTATAGTGGTTAGTATTTATAAAATTATAGACAAATAGGATACATATAATGTCTAGCTATAATATCAATATTAAAATGAGACATGTTGGCCATGGGTTATTTCTTCATCAAACTCAAATAGTGTTAATGTATAGACTCTTCCCCTGCAAGTATGCATCCGCTCTGCACACCCTATACATTAACACTATGCATCTCAAGTGTTCAAACGCCTCCCACACCTCCCCGCATGAGTTACAGCAAAAAATATTACAATTAAATTATTTTTTATGCTCTACTCTATTATAATAGACACAATTCATTAATATATCTTTATATCACTGGACCTACTCTACTTGTAAGATTAAACACGTTGACCATGGGTTATTTCTTAATCAAACTTATACATAATAAATTGTCATTATTTGTTATGTAACTTACCATCCTCAGCATCCAATGCACTCATGCAGATCAGTGTTAATAATATAAAACAAATAATTTTTGCCATTTTATTAAAAGTAAAAAATTTGACACGTATTCAAAACAATTAATTAAAATCAATAATTAATTATGAATGCTATATGTTATTAAACAATTGCTATCATATAATATACTTAATAGTTTGCATTCATTAATAACGCAATTAAATGTAATTTTAATAAAACTTTGATTAGAATTGCATTTGTAATTGACTATTGTTTTTGATATATTGAATAGATTTCCATTGACTATAAATTTTGTGAAAAACTTTGTAAAGTTTATAAAGTTTTGCTTACAACCATGATTTTTGAAGTTTTAATTTAGTTAGTTAAGTAGACATTATTTATTATAGTGCCTATTACTGTATAATAATTAATTTATAAAATTATTTATATGTATTGACAATTTTATTGACATCTCATTATGTCAATTTAGTTTAAAATTACAAAACATATCATGATCAGTTGATAAAAAATGTAATTCTTACTATTTATAAAATCATGATTTAAACCTGGTAAAAATTTAATAAGACTTTTATATAATTTATAAATAGTTTAAAATATAATCATTTAAAATAAATTAAATATAAATTTTTTGACATTTAAAAAGTGTTAGATTTATAAATTACAATAAATATTGCTTGTCAATATAATAGTCTAAAATTATAAATACCTAATTGGTTTGACTAATTATTTCTTTAATTTAAGTGCGGGTTATACATGAGTGCGGGTAATGCACAAGATTTTACGGCACTTAAAAATAAAAATTTTATTTAAAAAATTGTTTGAAAAAATTAACTTTTAGTGAAAAATTGTTATTTTCAAAAATACAAAAATCAATTCAATTAACATGTTAAAAAATTAATGAGCTATAATAAATAGTAAACACAATATGGTTATGTAACAAAAACAGTAGCGCAATCATCTGGGTTGAATTCAAACAATTAGTTACATATAACGTATTGTGAAGACAGGGGTAACAATGGCTACCGCGTGGTAGAGCGCTGGATGTAGCCGCGGGAACCAATCCCTGGTCACGATACTTGAGCCTTCACGGCGTGAGTCCAGTCCTAAGTCCTTGCGGGGCTCTCAGGGCAGTCCCGGGTCACAGCACGGGGTGACCGAGACTAATAACCAACGAGAGGTTACAGACAAAGTAGACAACGTGTTTATTACAAAGCAAAGACAGGACTGACTCGAGCACAGGTAAGGCGTGCTCCTTATATACAGGTGAGTACAGGTATGAGGTGAGCATAGGGTGAGTGAGACTCAGGGTTAGGGAAACGTATTGGAAGGGAGTTCACAATACGATACATATATGGTATAAAATAAATTAATTTCTGGTAACTGACACTACCATAAATCATCTCGATAGCAATACTCTAATTATTAATTGACCAAGAGCCTGATACCGTAAATCACAGGTAGTGGCCAATACAGTATCAATAGTCCCAACACCACATCCATAGCCATACTTGCGTTCCGGCGTAAGGCTGTCGTATCGCCCGTGCGTTTTGTACGCATGCGTACTATTTCTGCCGACACTTTTTTGCGATCATAGGCCCAACCAATTTTTGCAAACATGTCGATCAACAAAGTGGTCGGGTTGAAATTTTGTTCCCACCCGTACTCGGACCCGGAGTAATCCTGAGGAAATGCGTGATGATAGTTGTGGTAACCGCCACCTGTACATGGTCATAAATAAAATTATATGTTTATTTAGTTTTAACAATGATTTTCTAATTTTTCAAGTTATTATACATAACCAAAAATTATAACGTTAGATTTAAATAAATAATATTATAATAATATGGTTTCAAAAACCTTTTGTAATTCACATTCAAAAACATAACAGGCATATTTAATTCTATAACAAACTTTTACAGTATGTAATGTATTATAATACATGATAACTTATTTTGTGAACTAATCTAGGTTGTTTGTAATTACTCGCTAAAGTGACCGACTATTGACTTTATTTCCTGTGCTTTTAATAAAATTAATTAAATATTCTATTTTAAACAATAATTAAATTCCTGATTAATTAAAATGAAATAATTCATCTATATTCAATAAATAATTTTAATTAAAACTAACCCATAGCCAGGTAAACGAGCACGGTGTTATCAGTGGGCTGGATACTTTTATCATAAGGCCTGTAACCAAACATATGGGCCACGGAATATAATCTTTATTTATAATTAATTATAATTATATTACAAAACATTATTAAACAATAGTATCGAAGGAATTCTATAATAAATATAATTAAAATTTCTTGATCGCAATACAGTATGGTTTTCTACTATATTGTATTGTACCATGTTATGTTTTATGGTTTCCATACTCTGTAACGTCCGTCTTGTGGGCGCGAACCCTATACAAATTTTAATAATTTTAACCATGGTTAACTCATTGGATTAATCTTTGTACAATATGATAGCTTATTTAGGAATGTTTTAATATTTGTCTTAAAAATTTTAAATATAAACCATAACTGGATTTAACCGCTGATTCTCTTAGACAACTGTCTAAACATGTTTACCACTCTTTATTAGAGTATAGCAATGCTTATAAACTCACGTTTAATTATTTGGCCATTATAAATATTACCAAGATATAATTAGATTATATTAAGACTAAATTAAGCTAGATATATTGTGTTACAACCATTTTTATAAAATAAGTGGTTAGTTTTGCAACGTGATGCTTTATCATTTAAAAATCCAAAATGGTTTATATTTAAAATTTTTGTATATCGTCCGCACTTACATAATTCAAGTTTTCTTTGGACGCATGTGTTTGACCCTGTTCACGTTTCTCCCGTGTTAACTTCGTTGGTTGTTGTAGGACGACCATGTTTGAATCACCAGACATTATTGCCGACACCACCACCACCGCAATCGCCATTATCATTAACTTGTTCATTTTGCCCTTCATTATCAATGTTATGCTTATTTTTGCGTGGTTTTGTGGATATAATTATTGACTTCAATGGCAATACTATTTAGTAATTTTTCAATATTTAACACATTTGATAGAGTAATTGATATACAGTAGTAGACATAATGTTATGTTTAATTAAATTTTAAAATTTACAATTAAATAAAATTTTACATAAATGTTGAATTGGTTATTTAATTTAAATATTTTTATTTATAAATAATTTTAATTATATCTAAATTATGCATTAAAATAGTTATATAAATTAATTAACAATTTGGATAATGCACAATTCTAACAAATAGCATAGTCGACAAATTAATACAGTGCAACTTCTCTTGGATGAACACCTCCTTTGAATCAACGGGTTTGAAATATATTTTGGATTTTCTATACCTATAACAGAACCTCCCGCTGGATGAACCCTCTCTATAATAAACACTTTTGTCGTGCAACTGG